CTTGTGACACTCGCATATATTCATCTTGTGCTAGTTGTGCTTTCCATATTAGGCCACTTGTTGTACCTGAGCATTGACTGTCCTCTTTGTTATAGAGGTGGGAGTCTAGGTTGACCAAGTCTGTTTGTTCTATCTTTTTTAAGAATATCCTTTTTTTCTATATTGCACGTGTTGAGTTCGTGCTCTTGGGCACCACATCCAAAATAGAGCTTTGTTGTTTTAGACACCCAGGCTAGTTCCACACCTCCCAGGTAGAGCATGAAGCCTCTTGCTGAATTTAGGTCTTGCATATTCTTAAAATAAAGGATAGCGAACCGTTTGTTTTGCTTGAGATGGTTGAGGGGGATATAGCATGCCTGAGCCTGAGTTTGAATGATAATTTCTTATAACTCTCTTGCTGTAGTTCCCAAGGGAAGGTTCGCAAGTGTTTCACTGTATTGATTCCTTTTTTCTTTAACCAACCTAGTTCTGACTGTTGGGTATACCTACATGCAGATATTGTTCTTGTAGAAGGACCATATCTGTTCATATTCTTCGAATACTTCTTTGGAACTGAACTGTACCATTCCAGATTAGATCACCCCTACTGGTTGTAGCATAATATGTTCAATTATTGATTTGTTTGTAAACAGGCTGGCAATCTCATTTCTCGTGTAGTGGCTGGAGATGTCCCAGATCCTGATAGATTGGGTTTTGCCCTTAGGGGTACCGATCTGTGATACTAGTCTGAATTTAGTGTTCTCATTATCAGTAATCTCTATCTCGCATGTAGCTAGGGCCTCGTGGTAACTACCAAAAATAGCTGCAATTATTGATGTGCCGATTGAGGCTTCTGTGCGAAAATAACCTTAGGGTTGCAAGATATCCCAACTTGTTGTGAATATGGTTGACTTTTTTCTCTACTGAGAGGCCAGGCACTTTTTCTGGGTCAATGAACACTTTGTCTGGACACAGTATGTCATGTTTTCTGGAGGAGTCTTGTGGTTCCACTTCTGTATTTGTTGGTTTGGAGTTCTTGTCATAGCTGAAGCTATTGTTAATGATGTCACTGTGTGGCTTCATGTTTTCTTTCTCTTTTCTCACCATTGATGCTGTTAAGGTTACTGTTATAGGTGAAGTCAGTCTGGTTTCGATAACCATTTTCTCAGTTGGTTCTAATATCTCTGTTGTGACTTTCTCTGTATCATTCCTGATGTTGTGTTTTTCATTCTCAAGCTCCATCTTCTCTTGATTCTTGTTGTTGACTTGGCTGATCTCCACTGTTTCTATTGTTCTTTTCTTTTCAGTTGATGTGTAGCTTTTTTTTGTGCCAGTTAGGAAATTGAATTTGCTTCCGAGTTTGGATTTCAGTGTTGACTTGAAGACCTTACCACTACCTGTTAGAATTCTTTTGCCTGTATAATTGACTGTCAGGTCTCTTGTCCTTGTCAACCTTCTAGACATGTTTGTTGCCAGAGCTCTTTGCGAACATTATATTTTTTCTTTGATGTTTTGGGTTATTATTATAAAAGGAAATTTTCAGAAATCTGGGTGCAAGTAAAAAAGAGTTTTTTTTAGCTTTATCTCAATATAATATGTAGTAAAATTATATATATATAAATACTAAATATTTTTTAATATAATTGAAAATCTTATATAATTTTATTTTGAAATTAATTAATTTTTCAATAAATAAAAATAGCCTATATTAGATTTTTTTTTTAAAAAAAAAATGAAAATATAGTTTAATATAAAATAGAACTCTCATAGAAGGAAATAGCCTGTCCCAAAGTCATATATAGCTATACCTCTATATTGAGTTCTATTTAATATTATTAACAAATTATATTTCTAATAAAATAAGAAAAATTAGACATTTTTTCTATTCTAGTAAGTAACTTTTATCTACTTTTGCTACCCATTATTGTTGGAGTGGTATTTATTAATTGTCTAAATAATATATATTTTGTTTTTTTTATATCTTTTACTATTTTTATTTTAAAGAAAATTTTTATATACACTTCATAATAAAATATACTAAGAGTTAAAGTATATAATTTACCATTAAATTTTGTAAATAATAAATATAAAAAAAGTTATTTATAGTTAATTTGTAAATATTATTTTGAGATTGAACTTATGAATAAGTATCAAATAAAATATTATTAGAAGAGAATTGAATTTTCTTTTAAAAAAATCAATTAATTATTAATGATTATAAATATTTTAAATAGATTCACCTTTAGAAAACCATCTTGACAGTATGCCAAAGTGTTAATTAACAATGCTTTTTCTATAATATTTAGTAAAAAAAATTAAGAAAAAATCTTTTAATATAAAATGTTAATAAATAATTGAAAATAAAATGTATTACTTCAGCTAATCTAAAATAAGGACCAGAATTTGACCAAAAGTAAAATTGCCAAAATTGTAATATAAAGGATTTAAAAAGAAGTTGATTGATATAATCAATGACAAATAAGAAATCATTGAATAAAATTTTGAAAAAAAAATTAAAATATTGTGTTTGAATTATACCATTATTATCTTTATAAAAAATAACAAATCCTAAAAGTGAAATTTGTGTTTTTTTATAAAAATTTTTGTCAGTTTCAAAGGGATCATTAACAATTTTAAAATTTTTTTTAAAATCCATAACTATTATACAAGAAGTTTTTTTTTTTTTGCACAAATCAGGCCCACTTTATTAAGATTTTTTAGAGTATACAATATGATATTTTGATTACAAAGCTATTTTGTAAACATTTTTCTATGTTACCTATCTAAAAATTTCCTTAAAAAAGCCAGTTTGTCTTTTTTAGACCTTCTGTGACTTGTTACCCATATTTATGAAACTAACAGGCCTAGGCTCCATTAGCATGCGAGAAGATTTTATAGATGGTTTTAGTGCCAGAGATGATGTTAGTAAGTAGGTTGTGTGCCATCTGTGTGTGTGAGGCATGTTACCATTTTTGACTATTGCTTTGTTTATGGTATATATTTTTTTTGTATGAGATTTCATTGTCTTTGGTCCATTTATGAAACCTTCTGCATCTATCTTCCCATATGTTGAAAGTGAGAAATTTTATATTATTGATTATACCTCTGATGGTTTCTGCTATTCTGTTTATATTCAAGTGTTGTGTTATAAGTTTGGTTATGCTCTTGCTGATTCCACCTCTGATTAGTGTGTCCCAGGTATTGTGGTTGTTGAGGCTGTTTGAGACTTCAGATTTGATGTTGGTGTTGATGGGGCCATCTTTTCTATACAAGAAGTTGTTATTGCAAAGTTAATAGAATTTCAATAAAGTTGATATTGGTATATTTTAAAGTAAAGATATTGATAATAAAGATTAATATGATATTGTAATTGAGTAATAAAATGAGTATTAAGAGAATTAATTTGTGATAATTTTTTTCTGTTTTTTTTTCCTTCAACACATATTGGACACATATCATTTTTTTTTGTACTTTTTTGAAGTTTTTGAATAATATTTATAAAATATATCAAGGCTCAATTTTAAAGTTGTATTTTGAGTTTTTAATTCAAAATAAATATGTTTTTTTGTTTTTTCTAAATAATAAAAAGAAGTAGAATTAAAAGAGGTAGTAATATTTTCAAGAGAATAAGAAAGTTTAAAAAGATTGTTATGTGATAATAGATAAATGAGAATTTTGTATAAGAGAATTAAGAATAAGTTCAATAGTTTGTTTATGAATGGCAAATTTGAAAGAAGGAAATTGTCTTTGATAGTTTGATAAAAAAAAGGATTGATCATTGACTTTTTTAAAGAGGTATTAAATTGTGTATTATTAAAGTGAAAACCAAGATTTGCTAATTCAGATCTACTATATAAACCAACCATTAAAGATAAAAGACTGGATTTATATTTTGCAAGAGAATTTGCATGCATAATCTTAAGATTATTAAAGATTTGTTTGGTTGTTTTTGCATGTTTTGAATCTTAAAAAAATGGGTTTCCAATGTTAGATTGGTTAAAGAAATAATTGTATAGTTGAGTTGGATTATTTTCTGATAAATGAGTAGCTACATCATGTAAAAATTGAAGTAGCAAGATTTTTTTGAGAAGGAGAATAAGAATTCAAAGTTAAAGAATAAGGATGAGAATGAAATAATGTAGAAATATTTTTTCTTAAGTTTAAAGAAGGTATGGTATAATTAAAAAAAAAAAAAAAGAAATTTTTTGAATTAAAGAAAATAATGTTTAAAGGTTATATTAATAATCAAATTCGCGAACGATTTTGATTGTCAGTCACATGATCAGACAATACAAAAACTTTGCAATACTATAGGTACATGCGCAACATAATAAACACACTATTAAACCACAATACAATTAAATAGTTAAAATATTAGTATCCATTGTAGTTTATGTTTGATTATACAGATGCAATAAAGTAATCTTTATTCAGCACGATATAAATAGAAACAAATAATCCCGGGCCTTAACCCCTTACCCCCCAAAAATTCAACTAGCGTTTTTGTCGCCTTCAAAAAGAATTGCCCATGTCAAGAAAAAGAAAAGAAGATGCTATGGAAATATTTCAAGGTAATGTGATTGTAAATACTGTAATGGGTTATGAATAATACATATGGGATTATTAGAGATAATAATAACAATAATAATAAACCAAAAACAAAAAGAATAGACATACATAATAAGATAAGGGAGATCAATAATTAGAATTAATGAGGAAAAGGTGTTTTACTTTTAATATACACTGCGCACATCTACAATTGACGTTTCTGCGCAAACATTCTGTAAGTCATGGTGTAGGTTTTAAGTATTTCAGCCTCACGGATTATTCGATCGGACATTTTGTCAAACTGATCCGATTCCATTCCGCATTCGACATGCATTTTGAATCTGAGAGAGTCTAGCAATTTGTTTGCTGTTCGGAAGTAGAGATATGTTACAAAAAAGGTATTGATGGTCCAGGAGGTTAGGATATCATAGAAAGAGATGTTTCAAAAAAGCATTTTTTTTTTTTTTATATACCTAAATGTATGTCAGCGTTGTGAGTGGAAGAATGAGTGGGATGCCAGGGATTCAACTTTTCCATAACGATCAGTGGACTGAGCTCGGGTTGAGCGGATTGAATTATTTCTTGAAGTGTGTCAATTTTAAGATCGTAAAAGTCATTATTACTATAATTATTATTCGCAAGACCTGTCCAATAGTCATTATTTTACAATGAATTTACTGTGATCATTAGTTCTCGAGTTTTATCAAATATTTACCATAAGGGGATTCGACCATTCGCATGAAACTTCTCGTTTCCGGACCGGTGTTGTAGACATTCTCGTCAACGTCCATAAACTACGTGTACATCACGATGAGAACACGTGGGTTGTGAGTAGTACAGGGACGATGAGTCATGGAACACATACCTCAACCCATCCGCCAGGTTTGACAACCCTCGCAATGTTTGGCATGATTATAGTTCTCCATTCAGTTTCGCTAAAACAATGCTTTACAAAACGAATGTTAACAAAATCGAACATCTCATTCCCATACGGGAGGCCCTCTGAGAGATCGAATTGTTGAGGTATTACATTATCATGCGGAAGAGTTGTCGGCGGGTATTTATAGGCGCAGTCAAGACTGTAGAATTCTGATTTCGGATATTCCGACGAAAGCTCTAATAAGAAATTATTGGAACCACAACTAGGATAAGGAATCTGATGATTAGTTCCTAAACGACCTAATAACAAATGAAGGAACAACGAGCAAAGATTCTATTAATTACCTTACATCCAAGACCCTCGCGCCGCCGGCCTTTAAGACGTCTTGCACGGGACTCGAAAAGCCGCAGATCCACGTGAATCGAAAATAATAATGCAGAAGCTGAGTACGTTCGATGTCATGAGTATCATTGAAAACTGCGCCCAATTTAGGTTCTGTCCTTCGTCTACCATTATATTTCATCACATATTTGTTTAGTCTCTTACTATTTCCGAATCTAATCATGAGTGAAGTGGACAAAGAAGACTTTCGTTCTCCATCGAGTTTCATTTTCCGAGGCGTTGGTAGAGCGTTTCGGGAGGTAAGTATTTGTTAATTGTTACGACCGGAAAGGAAATTAAATTTGCCACTAGTGTTTTGAAAAATGAAGAACCGGAAAAAAGAAACCGACACTTTTTATAAAAATTTAAACTCTGATATCTTGGCATTTCAATGTTTAAATATTTGTTCGGTTTGTTTTCGCGTCACGATAAAATCGAAAGGACGACCTTTCGGAAACCAATAGAATGGATTATTTTCATTAATTGGGAACTTCGGAATATTGACCAGTGGTGAATGGATGCCTTCTTTAGACAATAATGAGCGGATCTAAAATCGGATCTTAAAGCTTCGTTTAATCGGCCTTACTCATTTACTTTTTAAGAGACTGGTTCCATATTATGGGTTGGTGGAACAGTAGTAGCAAAAAAAATAGATGAGCGCAAAATATGAAGGTGGGAATTTTTGTTAATGAAATAACCCGAAGAAAAAATATTTGTTCACACGTAATACACGTAATAGCGTTTTATTTACGTGGGATTGTGTATAAACATCTAATTTCTTTGACGTTTAAGAGTTCTGTACGATAAACAAGAGAGAAGAAGTGGATTTGGTTCTTGTTTTTCTGATTCAGAAGGAGCAATATGAAACCCCTTATATGGCTCACTATAATTAATAGCGACAGTTAAATATTCGATAGTCTGAATGTCTCGAATTGTAGATGAATGAAAAAATCCGTTATTTATTCGAGAGATTAAGTAGGGCACCAATAATATAGTCAACAAGGCACCAAAGGAGTCAACGTCATTTAATCTGCTGACAAAAAAAGCGGACAATATCTTTATGTTCGACTTTTTAAAATACCGTGCACCCGAGGGATCGGAGACACAAGTTTCATTTGCATGCACAAAAAACAAAAATAATTTTTGGAAATATAGTACGTAAAAGTGTGCACTTTCAAAACTCACATTAACGAAAAGAAAATGAATTGCGCTAATTATTTTTTAACTTTATTGCTAAACTTAAGTTTGAACTCTATTTCATTCGATTTCTTTTCTCAATGTCGGCCAATCCACATGAACTTTGTGCTCCAAAAACCTCTAGAAAAATCATGGTCCAATTTTTTTGAAAGATCAATAAACTTTTTTTAAATATTCACTTACTATTGCCTTTTTGAATTCTCTAAAATTTTAAACATCTTGTTCCTCAAGTTGTAATTTTTGTTCCACTCGTTCCAAGTCATTTACATTCATCTTGACGATACCCCTCCATGTTTTACGTGGAAGAATGGTGTAAAGTTTGCATACGCATATTCGATTGAGTTGAGAGAATATTTTAAATCTGCGATTCGAAAATAGAGAATAAATGACGAATCTCCTCTGAATTTTATCCCTAAATGGATATTGTTCTTTATGCAAACACACCATTTAATAAATAAGGGTCAACCGCCGGATCATCTCCGGAATTGGTGAGATCGTATATACGCCGCCGGTGTACTTGGAAGGGTTTGAGATCGCTCCCGCAATTCTTGGCCTATACTTTAAATGTAAATATAAAATAATTTCGGCAGAATTAACATAAAAATAAATAAAATAATCCACTCACCATTGACTTTTTGACTTTCCAGAAATGTTTGACTAACAAAAATCGAACTTTGGAATTTCAAATTCCATATACGTACAGTACGTAGTGCAGATCGCCAACGTTTAATCTTATAATACAGTAGTTTTTCACTTCATGCCTTCAAAATAAGGTAAAAAAAAATTTTTTTAAAATAGGGAGGGAATTTTTTTTTAAAATACAGTATTTACTCGTAATTATATATTGCAATTTTTCTTGTGTCAATAATAGGTTATCACAAATAGTAAGATTTAAAATCTATTTTTAGCGGTCCGCAAAGAATAATTTTTTTCCTTGTTCAATCGAATCTGAAGAAGTGTGGAGCATGTATGCTTATACTCCACCGACACAATCATATCACCTTTTTTGTTATCAGCTGCGCATCTATATAAACACTTTGCTACTTGTTCCCGAATATACAGTACAGTATGTAACTACGTACGTGTCGATAGATCATCAAACTCGTTATTAGGATAAGAAAGAGTCATCAATGGATTTACTAAGAGTAAAATCTGTTCTCTAAAATATAGTAGATAACTTTGCCTATCGCGAGATTATCAACCGCATCTTCCCCGTTGTTGGTGAACGATAGACCAATGAATTGATCATGAGTAAAGCCTAGACTATTTTCTGGATATTGTTAACTTTTCGTGTTGCGAAATTGTTTCCATTTTAGAGAACTAACGCATTAATTAATGGGTCATGAATAAAACCTGTCCTCTGAATATAGACACAGTGAATTGTGTGTGGCGATATTATTAACCCAAATTTCTCGTTATTTGAGAATGATCGCATTAATGAATTAACTATAAATATAATTTGTTCTCCGAATATACGTATCTATAAGTAAATTTTCGGTTCATTTTTAAATGTAATATCTAAAAAAAACCACGAGTGGAGCTTCGTGTATACTAATAAAGGAGATCGTCAATTATACGTAGAGGACAATTGCCCTGATAATACGTACGTATCTGACGTTATCTAAACACGTATCGATTTTAAGGTTTGTATTGATTGCATGAATTCCTAATAAAATTTTGTGTACAACGGGATTATGGTTCGTGAACGCAGGTTCGGAACACAAATTCGCGGTTCAGCCGAGAAGGTTCTGATGAAACTTTAATGTTGACCGGTCATGCGAATGCCTTGCTAAATTTGGTCTTTCAACCTGTACCAAAAAAAGTTGAGATCATACCTTTGCGTCAATAAAACGATAGTTATCTAAGGAAAGCATTCGTTGAAGAATATCCTTCCAAATTTATTCGTAACGCGAATTCCTATTAATTAACAGGTACAAAGACATCCTTGGTTTCTGATATTCGTGCGTTAGATAGTACATGTGCACAGAATGTGGTTAAAATAAAAAAATTGTCACTGTTTTATTATTTGTCATTTTTGCAAACAATAAGTAACAAGTGAAAATCCCCGTTTTTCCGTTGTATTGTATTTAGTAAGGTGAGAGTGACCTTTGAGATTTGCTGCATAGGCTTGCAATACAAGGTGTTTCCAAGGATGTTCAAAATAAATCAAAACAAAAAAAAAAAAAAGGAAAAAAAGGAAAATGGACACTCCGTTATTCACAGAATGCTGCGCCTAAGACAGTTAAATATCATGCGAATGCAGTGCAAATAAGACTGCAAATGTTTGCATTAATGTTTTGTCCACACAGAACCCATTTGGTAGTCGTTTTGCAAAATACTCTGATTGATTGATTGAGCTGCCATTGGAGTACTTATAGAAGCAAGTCTCAAACCGGGAAAGGATTTGCGTGAAAATCTAAAAGAAAAAGATCTTTTCTTCAACTGACAATACGTATACTTTTAGAATACTGCAACAATGCAATTACGTACTCTGAATTTGGTTTTTAGTATAAAAATTAAATTATAAAATTATATCATAAAAATTAAATTATAAAAATCAGATTATAAAGATTAATAACGACATACTGTATGCGGTTAAAACATTATATTTTTTTTAATAAACTAGCATTTTAAATAATAAATACGACATTATTAGTAAATGATGTATTTAAAGTACAGTATAAAGTTATATGACTTGAAGAAATAAATAATGATATTGCTTCTGTCTGTACAATCTTTTTTTTTTTTTTTTTTTTAGATTTATTTTAACTCCAAAATTCTGCTTACATGCGTGGCTTACAACTCCGGTTATTACACTGAAAAGAATTTTAAAATATAACCCATATTTTAATACAATAACCGACATTATATGTCCTATTCGCATCCCAATCCTGCTATTGTTATCGATACAGAACTGAGGGACGAAAGAGATTAACACAAGACATTCGAATATTATCAAAGGTTAGCTGAAATATATGATGCTGATAGAATGCGTGCAATAAAAAGTCAAAAGTATAAACATTATACATATCTCCAATTTCGGCCGATTTTTAAATGCCTTCATCCTCATCGCAAATAACAAAAATATCTAACCGATCCGCATCATCCATCCCAGTCAATATTTGATGATGTTGCATTCATCCTTTTAACTCTAATTCCTTTATCGCGAAATCAACCAACTTTTTGCGCCCCACTTACATCATCTAGATTGATTTTTGAGAATATTCGAATACTCATTAACTTCGATTCCGTGACGATAAATAGAAGTCAACATTATACGTTTTACTTTTCAGCTGGCTTTCGATAGTATTCGGATGCCTTGTGTTTATCTCGTACAACTTTAATTCAACGATAACTCGATACATATCATCTCAGCCGATTTTTGGCAACATTGGAATACCTTGTGTTCGTCTTTTTAACTTCAATCCCATTTGATGACAATAGTAAATATTATATGTTCCACTTACATTACACATTTCAATCGATTTTTATATCATTCGAATGACTTGTGTGCGTCCATTTTCACCCTCATAACTATACAAATTCTAAATCAAGATACAATATACTGTATCTTAGGCACACAACTTAGTAAATATTAAGATGTTATATCTAGCATTAAACAATATCAAAATCACAACACAAAAGAAATATGTTATAGAATAGTTTTGATCGGGACAATATAATTTTCTTTTACTTTTAAAGATTATTTTCCTCACAAAATACTTTTTATTCAAAGGATATGGGATATAAGGCATACAGTACGCATATTACGGAGTCATAGAGACTCCCGGTGACTAACTATCTTATGTAAAAAAAAAATAAATAAATAAATAAAAAAAAAAAAAAAAAAAAAAAAAAAAATTTTTTTTTATTAATTTATAAAATAACCGAATTTTAGGGATTATTATCGATTCAATTGTTTTAGATGGGTTAGGACGCGACACCACTCAACAAATCACACAATTGGGACTGTGTAATATTCATTTTTTTTTTTTTTTTTTTTTTTTTTTCGCCTCCGATAATAGATTAATTATATTGCAATCTAATAATTTAGTAAAATATGAAAATATGCGAAATGAATTTTTAATACCGAACCAATTATCTGATAACGAGTGAGTTCGTCATTGTGCACGTAAAAAGAATCTACAAAAAAAGTGTCTGTTGCCCACTTATGCACAGTGTTCACTGCGAAATTTGTGCCATGTAATGCATCAATGAACTGTGTACACTGTAGAGGAAAAAAAATACTTATTATTAAAAAATACCGTGCTACCTATAATTTTAAAATCACTTTAAACAACGGTGTTTCATTAACTAATTTCAACCTGTATTTGTAAAATTTTTGATACCAGAACAGATAAAAAATAAAGGTGTTATAATAAAAGGACTTTTATTTAAAATACAAGTATTCGCTTAAAATTTATTTTTCATGAATAAGTTTAAATTAAATCGCGAGCATTGTGACAACAAACACACATATACCACATACAGTAACGATTATACGGTAGATGCAATTATATTCAATACACTTTACATTCACTAAAGGTCACGAATATCGGTGCTCTTCTTGCGCATACACGCCATCGGCACTGCAGATCAGGTCTTCGGATAATCAGTGTTGTCATTGGCATTTGTGAACGTTTCAAATCTTTGACCAACTCATGTCAAACGTGATCTGTTATGCATGTACAGATGTAACCGATACGCTTGTTTTAAACCATCGCAACAGCATACTTATAGATTTGAGGGACAAAGTTTTTTTAAAAAAAGTTCATAATAGTTGAATCTGTAATAATTGTTGGAATAAATATTATATTTAGAGTAAAAACAACTTTTTTTTCTTAATGCAAGATAGTCTTTTTTTATTAATATTTGATTCGGAAATTATCTCATAATGGTTATTTGAGTTTAGAAAGAAAGAATACTACATAATGGTCATTTGAGTTTAAAAAGAAATAACATATCATAAATATCTTATCAAATAAATAAAAAAAATAATAAATATAAATATGATTGATATGCGTAAAAAGGGATAAATCTTAACATTCATGTAAAACCATAGTTTCGTTTAATGTATTGTATGACGCTTAGATTCTAACATGTTTGTTAACCAAGTCTACTAGCGATTTGTCGTAGGAAGACATAATATTGACTTTCGATTGAGTCATCGACCGATTCTGCTCGATAGGTTTGAGTTTTGAAGTAAATATTTTGTAAATAAAATTTTGGTTTCCGGAGATTCGATCCAAACTGTCGTTGTCATTCACGGAAGGTGGATTGTTCGGTCGTGTTCCGAAGAGCATTGTCGAACATCCTTTAACCTCACCATAACCATAATTACTATATTTAATAGTATTTTTTCGCGTGGGTTTACTGACATTGTGATCTGGCCACATATTATCACGTAATTTTTTGGTGCACTCTGCAATTCGATAATACATATATCTATCCTCGGGAGAAAATTTTTCCCACATCGAACTCGCCCCGCGAGAGATTTCTTTGACTCTTGATCCTATTCGTGGGCCGTACTCTGCTACCATCCTCGCGTGGTAATCTTTTCGAAAGGTTATAAAATTATTTTGGTAACGTCTCATTGTATGTCTTGGACGACTGCTGGGAAGGATAAGGTCGTAGAGAGGCAGAAAAAGCTTCGATTCATACTTGTTTCTTTCGTCTCTAGTCAAAACAGAGTTTATGATATTGTCGAGATATTCTTTCGAAATGTTTTTAAAATTTGGTTTAATCGTGCGAGATCGAGAAGGAGGAGTTTTCGGAGAATCAAATATTTCTGTCGATAAGTAAATTGATGAATCTTCTTCATGTGATCGAGAACGAGGAACGTGTGAGTGATTTAATTGTTCCATTAGCGAGTAAATTGGTGCATATTTTTCATGAAATCGAAAATTAGAAACGTGCGAGGGATTGATTTGATTCGTTGACGAGTAAGATAATGCATCTTTTTCACAAGATAGATATTGAGATAAAGGAAAGGAATAATGCTCTCTTTCATGTTGATAGTATGAAGGAAAATTCGAATCCATTTCACAAAAGAAATTTTTTTTTAAAAAAAAAATGAAATGCCGAAATCGAAGCCTTTTATAATTAGGCTACAATGACTTTTAACATCATAAAAGGAGAATCTATTCTATTTGCACGCCGTTTTTCTGATCTTACAAAATGAATTAACCAATCCATCATCAAAGTTCAATTATTTTCCGTCCGCAGCGCATGTGCCACGCATGTGTACCCAATTTTTGTCCATTCAAACTCATTAAGTAATCTAAAGAGATATTATTTTGTATACTGGGAGGATACTAAATAGCATGAATATCGGTGACCGGCTAACAAGAAAACAAGGGTAAAACGTAATAATAATGAATTGAGGTATATGTGTTGTTCCTTTGTTTTTAGAGGAGAAATTCGAATTTCCAAAATTGCGTCGAAGAGCATTTGGAGCGATCGCAAGATAGATCTAATTAAAATACGTCGATAGAAAGTAATCAAGATTATTATAAGCTCGATGTACGTTTGAAATGCTTTTGCTTAGTAAAAGAAATAGAGTCTATTAAAGACGGGCGTCCGAAACTCACGTACCCTCCTCTTCCACGATTGGATCTTGATTGAACCATTGACTTTCGTTGATGAAAGTTAAATTAGCATGTCGTATTTCTGAAAAATTATTTTACAATGATTATTCCCGAGTCACATTAAAAAGAAATCAATTTATTCTGCGTCCAAATATTTGACAAACAAATGCGAAGACTGTGATCATGACCGCATCAAACGATTTCACAAACCCTATTCCAAAACAATAGTCTGCAGGGACAACTTATCAAATCCCTGTATACCCTAGGAGAGTTTCTAAAGAGGCATATGTGATCGTCATTATTTGTTTCGCTTGATCGCTTACGGCCGGTTACAGCAAATAAATCCTAAAACGATGTTGGTTCCAAGGTAACAAAATATTTCCCGCATCATTAAAGAGTTCGAAATAACCAATCATTTACGTGTATCCGGATAACTTCATTAAAAGAATATTACCTAAAGTGACTATAATCCAATTTTGGTGAATATTGAATAATATTTCTAATACCATGTGAGATGAGGGTAAAATTATCCATCCAGTTATAATTGTTCGTCATCCATTAGCCAATGTAAATGTTTTCTTTCTCTTTCTTTAAATTGAATATTAAATAACATAAAAAATAAAATAAAATAAAGTAAATTAAAACGACTGTGACCAATTGTTTTCTCGATACATGCGGCATCGTGCATCAAAAAGAACCCAATTTATTATAATAATGGATTGTAAAGTAGTAAAATTATATTTAATACGCACTCGTCGCTGTTTCGCGAACATGAAGAACACGTCATAATACAGTATGTGATTCATATTTATTCGATTTTTTTTTTTTAAAAACTTTTGTATATTTTGTTGAAAAAACAAGGTATCAAGTAAGAAAATTTTGCGTAACCGCCTAGAAAATCCAGGTTTTGTCTTTCAATCTTTATTCGTGAGATCCTCATTTTGCATGAGATTGTAATACAGTACTCGTGTTTCATACAATATATGGAAACAAAACAACGTTATTCCCTATATGTAATTACCGTACGGCACGGGTTAACTGTGTACGTAATGTTCAAAGGTTTGATCATTTGAGTATACCTGTACATATGTATATAACATCTGACATTTCTTATTACTCGTTGGCTAAAAAATTCCATTGTCAAATTACACAAACTTACGCCATATTGTATCACAGTATCTCCGACCAATTTGCCCATTTTATAAGATACAGTATCTCAAGTACGTCAACAAGTAATAAGACTGCTTCCGAAAAAAAAAAAAAAGAAAAAAATTCATCCCCAGTTGAAAAATTATTTCTTTTTTTTTTTCTTTTTGCCATTCAAATTTTATAAGCGTTAATATAATTTGATCAATCTTTTAAGTGCTAGAATATCGTTAAAAAAAAAAAAGATCGTGGCGATCATAGAAATCACAAACGGAATGCATTTTTTTCTTGCTTTAAAATTATTACTGTATATTAATTAATTTTAATTGCACGTTCTATTTTCAGCATATGCGAAAGTAAACTTATAAATTTATTAATTTTTTCAATCTGTTAGATCCCACCGCGTAATTTAATAATATTTTTAATATGATATTAGTTGGTTTATTAATGAAGTCAACATCAATATATCTCATTATTTTCAAAAGTTTTCAGATAAGTGACTTTATTCAACGTACATTAATCTTAATTTATAAATTTCATTTGAATGATAAACAATATAATAAAGTAATGGAATTTTTATGAAATCAATCTTCATTTAATTTGATACATTTCAGATTATTTCTATTAAAAAATGTTGTTTTTATTTTAACCATTACCCAAACCTTTTTTTTTTCTGATCTTCTAACTATACACCAAAATTTTTTTTTATATATTTTAATTTTATTCTTATATTTTATTTTGATTTTTTTTTTTTTTTTTTTTTTTTTTTTTTTTTTTTTTTTTTTTTTTTTTTTTTTTTTTTTTTTTTTTTTTTT